CTTCGTATCTACTATGAGATTAATTTTACTTGTCTCTTTGACTAGTTGTAGATAAGTGCTAGGGATGTCGCTGCTAATTTACAATGGCCTAATAAGGGCCGGGTGTTAAAAGACCATATGCCAACACTAATAGTTGATGCAGTACTGGATACATTATTGCCTATGTATAGACTTGCCTTGGTTATAAGAATGGGTTCTAGTGCCAAGTATGCTTGTATTGAGAGATGACAGACGAAATTTCTGCGCGTTTTCATCCGAACTGAAGAAAGGGGTCTTAAAAACTACGTCAAAATGAATTACTTTGGTGAGATAAACCTTCGTATCTCCTAATCAGAAACTTTCGTGTGAAATGAGATTTGACAATATATTAATCAAAAACTAGTTTTTTTGTGTATGAACACTGTGTGCTTTCTGATGTCTCATCCCTCAACCACAGGCTCTGGTAGGCCTAGTCTATCAAAGCAGCGTGCTACTCTTGCTGTATGGTCGTGGGTAAATACGAACATATTGGATTCGAGCCATTCGGTAGCCTGATACCTTACATGTCTAACTTAGGTGACACTAATTTGCATTAAATAATATGATATTACAGTTTCTCAAAACATTAAACAACAAATCTGTTTACAAATTTAGGTGGTTAGCATTTCAAGGATCATCCAATTGCTCACCAGTACAGCTAAAATGGGACCACAATCAGATCTGGCAGGTTACGCACTCTCGAAAAAGCACTTTGCATAAGTCGCTCATTTTTCTTCAACTATCAGAACTTAGTGATGGTTCAAACTCGTTCTTGCAACTTGCTTGGATCGTCAGGGAGTCTTCGTAGAATGCACCTAGTCTTGAATTTCAACATCAGACCATTGACCTGGTACGTTCCCATGGGAATTTTCTATTTTGAAGGCTTTAAACGGGCATTACATTTCGATGGGAATGTACCAAGTCAATGAGCCAAATCTGGAAATCACTCATTCTATGGCAGGGAACACAGGACTAGGTACATTTCATAAGGTCTCCCTGCCGCCCCGATTAAGTTGCAAAAGCGAGGTCGAACCAACATTACAAAGCTAAATGAGACTATGACCAGACAGAAGGCTATACCATCTTGGTCTGTTATCTAGTATTAGAATTTTCTTCATATTAAGCGACAAATGGTGACTAAGTACTTATTCAAAAAGTACTGATAGTATCTGAATATCTCATACTCAGTAAGTATATATTTTGCCAAATTATCCTAATAAGTATCAATATCACAGCTAATTTGGCACCTGTTAACTCCCTCCAGGAAGAGGCGTCTGCAGATATACGAGACTTGTGTAAGATCAAAGATACAAATATATTAGTGCCATAAAAAGCAATAGGGTTGAATGTTGTCATGAAATGTTGTTATACATCTTAAAGGGATGTGAATTAACTTTTTTTATGAATTTTTAGTGAATCCCTACAAGTACGGTAGTAAGGTTCAGGATTAGTTTTAATTACATATGAGATAAATGAAGACCTGAAATTTTTTGTTAACATTCCAGCCCTTCCGCGTGAAAGCCAGAAACAGTTTGATCGAGGCTGCGGGTATCCATTGGAACTCCAAACTCTTGGAATCTTGACCCTGACTGTCGGTTTATGAGACATGCCAAATGAGGTTCAGACACAGTCGCTCTTGATTCCAATACGTCGTTCTTAAAAGCATCAGCTATTCCTTAGGCTTTATTCTCGATTAAGATCTTTAGTCACCCTAGGACACATAAGGTGTTTAAGAACTGATAGGTGAATTGTCTCCGAAACCCATTACGTTTAATTTAGCTTTGACTCTCAAATGGTATTCTCATCCAGGATTAACTACAGTTTCGACTGCATCAGCAAACCCAACGTGGTTTTAACAATAGTCGTAAGCAAACCAGACCACTTTTATATCAAATTTTAATAAGGGAATTTTCATTGGAGCAAACTTTTATTTATTATCTGTACAAGTAGTTTTCGTTACTATCAGTAACTAGTAAATAAGGACTTAGCCCCCTTACGTCAATTAAGGTTATTGAGAACTGATAGTTTAGTTTTCCCACAATCAGATGAGTGGGCTTTGTCTTCCAAAATGCTACATTTTCCAATTCTTCATCAGCAGCCCAAGCGACTTATTCAATTTATTATGAGAAAACAGAATTAGTATCCCTTACACAAACTTAAGCAACCTATGGTAACTAAGTTCTTATTCAAAAATTACTGACAGTCTCGAAAATTACTTAAACCTAAAATAAGTAAAGTCACTGTTTGAAACGACAAACAGATATCTGCTTAGAAGTGGTTTGACCCCGTTTTCGCAACTTAGTTGTATTGTCACGGTGGCCTAGATAAACGCACCTTGTCTGAATTTATTTGACATAGTATCCATAATGCTTGCCATCGTCAGAGCGTAAGCTTAGTATGTCCCCAGATGTTTCGCTGGCATATTTTTCGGCATTATCAGGAAGTCCTTCCATTCCTGGCAAAGAAAAAAGTAAAGTCTATCTTTTGACCAAATTTCTGCAGTAATATGAAAACCTTCAAGTTTCTTTGGAAGGTTGTAGCTTGGTGCTAAGAGTTTCAGAGCCCAATGGAGAAAATGATTACTATACAAAAAAAACGTTTCGGATTGCACCAAGGCAACTGGAAATAACCCTGAATACTATAGCAGAGGACTTGAAACGAGGTGGGTCTATCAAGGTCGCCCTAACGAAACGACCGAGTTATTCAAACGAAGGGAAACCACTTTTAGTCCACCGCAGCCTGGATGAGACAGCCTTTTTGGAAGCAAGTTATGTGGGGCCTACTCATATGGTTGTAAAAATATCAACCATCGGTCCTCAAATTACTTTAAGCAACCCAAGCTGAATAAATTAGTATTCAGCCCTTTGTCATTATTGCCGAGTATGTTTCTTAGTGATGTAATAATTAGATTTAGTAATTCTAGGTGGGAAAATTCAACCATATATTATTCATCCCCTAATGCGACCTTGAATGATTGACTACAGTTTCAATTCAAGATCTAGTGATAATCTTAAAAACCTACTGTTCTTGAAACCACTACTGGCCTTAATTTCATCTATACAGCAACCTGAAGTGGACTCATTTGTAGAGATGACTTACTAAAGTCATGTCGTTTGAAAAGGTGTACGGACGTTATCGGCATAATGACATTAACCTAAACCAAGGCTATCTTGCGAACATGGTCCCAGACCAACATCGTGTGGTCCCAAACCAATGAGTTTTCCAAGTTTGGGGTATTAGAGAATTTTCGTCAAGGTTGACGTCTGGTTCTGAAAATCTCTGTTTAGACTGGACAGACGTAGGCCCAGCATGGAGTCTCCTGGCTCGTTTGAATGTGGGCAGATGACTTTTTTACACTACCTATCAGTCACAACTACAACTGTTTTAGGGTGGGTAAGTCTGCGAATCTTCCAATCAAATCCATCCATCTTTTCGAATTTAACCAAATGTCTCTGCTGTCATGCTTGCTCAGTCTGTGTCAGGACTCGTCCTTTTATGCCCTGTTCTCCCACCTTTGAGTCCCTGCTCTCCCCACCCGTGCGTTCATCTATTCCAACCTCCGATCAAAGGTCAATCAGGAAGTATGAAAGGCAGGACATTCAATCATTTAACTCTCCTCTATACTTCGGTACAGCCTGGTAGCATTGCCATATTCGTCCCTCAAATTTGCTGTTGGACACATTTCCCTTTGACTGATAGAAATATCTTCGTATTTCTTCGGCTGGATTCAGAATTCGTCATTGCCCCAGAGCTGTGCTTCCCTCGGGTGTGTTCCTGCAGGCAACACATCAACACACAGAGCCTCGGTCTCGTTGGCATGCCACAAGCAAGACCGGGGCGAAGCGAGGGGTACAGGTACGAGGGGATATTCTTCGTTTATAGGTAGGTTTTATGGACTACATCTCGTACATATTAGGGGATGTCACAGGGAATCTGATGAAATGGTAGGTGTGGATCTATCTATACGACATCTAAAACACTCTCACAGCTTGTGTCCTCTAAGCGATTCATAGATTGGTCTTGAGAAGTTGGTCGATATTGGGAAATAGCCAGTTTTCATGCTCCTCTCTATTGCCAATTCGTTATCGCATCGCTAGCCCTGGAGGTATCCGTCAATCTCGCCTCCCTATAAGCCCTGGCATGGCAGAAGTCCCCTGATCATTGGGTGGATCAACAGAGGTGAATGATCATAGATGACTTGAAGGCTGAAGTGTGAAAAATGATAGGAATGAGGCGGACCAAAACTAATCCTCTGCTCCAGGAGTTAGGGCAGAGGCAGTAGACTGCGTTTCTGTGTGTACCGGCGCCAGAGACCGGCTAACTTACACAACATACTAAAAAAGATTAGAGCTAGTCCGATAAATCAGCCTCTGTCTGACGAAATGTTGCCTCTAACAAGAATAGTTGGGAGGTGGGGCCAATCAGCTGCTTTGTATATGCCTTCGTCAGTGTGTGTGTGCGTTTGTGTGCGTGTGGTTCATATACATTCGAGGAAAAGAAGATTGTCGAAGGAGAAACTAAAAGAGTATGCGCATGATTAAAAGATTTAATGAATAGAAAGTATTTTCAGCCCAAAATGTGTGTAGACTCCACCAAATATGGGCTAACGGATGTTCTCGGGCTTGGTAAATGATTGACAGTCCTGGAAGGTCCTGCGTGTAGTCGTCCAGGCAATGGCAAGCACACGCAATCCTGTAGTCGTGCCTGTTTATGGATGTGTTTCGTGTACCTTTGCCTTGTGCATGAATGCATGCATGCATGCACGCGTCGGAGTCTTCTGGAAAATCTGTTATGACTGCCACGGCCAAAGGCAAAATCTATTACACTTGAACGGCTGGATAATGAATCTACATTCATTTTTGCCTTCCCTCCAATTTTGCCCCTCACTGCCCTATATCCAGCTTGGTACGCTGACTGGGTTTGTTAGTGTGCCCATCTCTTCGTCGTATGTTCCACTTGAGGGCGGCCGACTTAACACGGCCCGGCATAGTGACCCCGGGCTGGGGTACTCGAACCCGCACTGGTTGGCGGGGTTCGAGGGCGGGCCGATTAGGGGGCGTCTGGGTGGACTGGTAAATAATCGGGTCTTTGAGATTAAATGTACCATGTGGACGAATGGTCAGATGACGGGTGGAGTCTTGCCGGACTCGGGCGGGTCTCTGACGGCTAGGCGGCGAGAGTGGGAAAACGCAGATGCGCACGCCAGCCAATAGGCGGCAGAATAAGACTCGGCCAATCGGCTCTGCTCGGCTCTCCGTTCCATCTTCCTTCGTTTCCCAGCTTGACACAGTCAGACAATTGAAACTGTGACTTCAAATGCGTCTGCCTATCATCATGCCAGCATAACGCCCAATCAGAATAACGAACAGACAGACAAACAGGCGGACGACAGATGAGAAATTGACCGACGACTTGGCTATCAGTACACACCCGTAGTGATAGACACAACCAGGTGTGCGGGTTAGTAGATGAATAGATGGCGTTATGGTGATATGATGTTCGGCGCATAGATTGTCTCAGAATCTCTCTTTCTCATTCTAGATTGGCTTATCTGGCAAGGCGCGCCAATAGAGAACCGCGACTACCCTTAACATGCAAACAGCACCCACATCCACCCAGCCACATCTACACACACGCATACACCAAGCCAGAGAAATAGCGATGACGGAGACAAGCTAGTAGAATGTAAAGTACGACACAGCCAATGGACAAGAGGTCTAAACCACCTCCCGTCCCGCTCGACTGTACATGTGAAGCCGCTGGTCTGTCCGGCGCAAGTTGAGTGGGTCGGCCAAATGCGGGTCCGATAGGCTTTCCTCCCTCCTCCAAGGTCTCCCATCTTCCCATAGTCTCAGCTCCTCATTTTCTCATTCCCTCTTTTCTTTTTATTTCACCCTCCAGCCTGGTCTCTGTCCTCTAGGACAAGGCCTTCTCCACACCACTTGCTCTCTCCCTCTCTCGCACTTTGGTCAGTGTGCCACAACTTCACAGACACACACACACACATAGCACACATACACATTGGGCTCATACGCTAAAGTGAGGTTACGTACTAACCGTG